TAACGCACTGAGTGGATGCAACTGACGAGCACTCATGAAATTTTATGGATCCTTAAAATTTTGCATTATTATATAGTAGGCATTTTTATCATTTTTTTGACTGCCTTTATAAATTCAACTACATTTTATGGATCACATGCACGAAAAAATTATTTCTTCTACTTTTTTGACAGAAATTTACGCCTTATTTAAATTTTTTACTTAAAGAAACGGTATCTTACGGTTCTTAAGTCATTTCCTAATTGCCGAATAATTTTCTCACTCGTATTCAAGGTTTAAAAACTGCGCACTGCGTACATCCTGTTGAAGGTAGAGTACGTTTCACGTCAACAGTTTGAGGAAGAATTCACATAGTTGTCATTAAATATTGCAGTAGATGTGGAATATTTTTTATGCAGTAAAGGTGGCATTAATAAATTGACGGATACGATATATCATGAATAAACACCTCATTATTGCAAAAAAGCTCATGATTAGCAAATTTCTTTACACCAAAGGATATCCTTTCTTTTGGTAAAGAATTTACAGATGGCGTAATTTTCTATCAGGCAAGTACAATAAATAATTTTTCGTGTATATTTTCCTTAAAATATATTTGAATTCATAAAGGCAGTCAAAATCAATGATAAAAACGCATAATACTTAAGTAGCCAGTAATAACAATATATACGTTTTTGTAGTGGTCACAACGAAGCTTCTTAAAAAGCCTGCATCCTATGATGAATGAAATGACTTCAGAATAGACTACCTGAGTCAATGCCGTTTAGCGATAGAGTATCAATTTTTAGCATATGTCGGCATGTTGCGTTATTTTCGGCGACTACTGTGCGTCTGCTATCACTTACAACTACCCCTTTTAGCCGGGCACCGTCACTGCACCCACATGTTGATGCATATGGTAAACTTCATTGAAATCGATGGTCAAAAAATAATCATCATTACCATCACCACCATAATCGTCACCTACTTAGGGAAGGATTAGTGGATTCATTATTGCGTTGCGGCTTTTTTGTTGTATTTGCTTTTACTCTTTCTTTTCTCGTCCATTTTGCAGGTAGATAGATACGGTCGTGAGCAAGGTTCATTGCCGTGCACACACGAAACCGACTGTTTTGACTGGCTTTCAAAGCAATATAAGTTCTATCTCGCTTTTGAAAACAGCAGCTGTGAGGGTTACGTAACGGAAAAGGTTCACAATAACGCTTATCGGCAGGTTGTCCATGATGTTATATTTTTGACCATTTCATACTTATTTCGTAAGCGCCCGCGTTCCGGGGAGTGCTTGCCACATACACTCCAGAGTATTGGTAAACAGAAAAATTCAGAAAAGGAGAAGATGTGGTCGCTGGCACGTGAAGTATATTGGCCAGATGTTTCGGACTCCCGCTTATCAATTGCATTCGCCAAAAAGAGGTCCCTGACGATGTGTTGATACGAGAGTCGAGACATGAGGCCAATATAGTTACCATTCCAGCAATTGCACCCTATCATTCTGTGCTTTTTTCTAAAACTCGCCTTGCTGGCTTGTACTACAGACCAAACAATATACAGAAATTTGTTTGGAAGTTGAACGACATTTAAAACAAACTTACTTAAACGTAAACTCAAAATGTTTTATTATATTTGTAGGATAGTCGACAGGATTTAGCTTGTTAACTTTTCTATAAAATTTCTCGAATGATCTTATAAAAAAGCGCCTGCTATGACATTTAAAAACATTTAGTAGAAGACGACTCGATCGCTGGGACAACACATTTATTCGCCTGAGGTTTCGAGATCCGTCGCGGATTCGTCATCAGAGACATAGTCTAAGAGCAGTACCAGAAACGGGTCTCATAAGTGGGGAAAGCGCCAAAAGCCACATTCGAGGGACGGAGAGCAAGACTCCCTTCTTACTTTTTACTTCTCTCAGTACCTTAGCGATGGTTCTGTTCTTCACTTTTCTCGTGTGTATTTTGAAAAAGCAGAAATATAATGCTAAGCAATTTACACACTCAAAGATCGGAGGTGTTCTGCTTAAAGAACAAAATTCACTCAAATCTACTGTCCTGTAGCTGGTCCTATATGCTCTAAGTATTCCGGATGGCTAAATCCTGAAAAAAGCCCTCTTTTGCTATCCAAGCACTCCCACAG